AAGGTAACAAATATAACTATACAAATGTTACAAATAGTCTCAGAAAAAAAATTAAATTGAGTCTAATTTAGTCAGCTTTTATGCGTGTCTGTTAAGTGATTGAGTTAAAGGTTATTTTACTTACCACTGCCAGAATCTTGACTTACTGCACAAAATATTATATTTATTTATTAGTTCTTTATGCACATAAAGTACAAAGGCGAACTTGAAGCCAAAGGCATTATCTCCTAGTCAATCTTAGGGTGGTACAACGAATGTAATAATACAATGTATTATTCTAGTAAATATAAAAAATGGTACCATATCGTACGTCCCGAGAATACATTGCCGCCTGTGATGTCAGACGGAGAGAGGTATCAAGTTTTTTCATCTAAAACCATAAAACGCATCTTTGTTCGTAGAGTTCGTGTTTCCAGACAACGTGTAGTGTCATATTACGATACGGAAGTGTTTGCCCCGTTTTGTGACCCCCTGGTAACAAGTCGGCTCAAAAATCGGCCTCTTAAAATAATAATCTGTTCGTCTTCTGGCATAAAAGTTATTGCGCGACTTCTGTCACTTCTCTACAGAATTATGTTATGAATTAATGTCAGTAATTAAAATAATATAAAAAATAAATGAGGTAATGAATTAGTCTCAGTAATTAAAATGCAGATGTATATCGGATATAGATAAACGGAGAGCGGTATGTTATGTGCATGAATAGCTACTCACTTTAGCTCAAAGCTATAGCGTTGTTTATTAAGGTCTTGTTACGGTTTATCTGTCTACGGTGGTGGTAGTATGAAGGAAGTATTTAGAAAAGTCTCTCTTTTTGAGATAGATATAGTAATATTTATGCAAACGAATTAGAATTATATTGAAAAATATAGAAATCAAAAATCACAAAGGTCAGAAACGTATATATTGCCTAAACAATGTTTAGTTTAGGTTACAACTCATATTAATTACATATCTCATAATTATATCTCACTCATCAGATGAAATGCTGGAAGAAATACTCCTAAAGCCAGTCATCTTTAAGGCCGTGATACTGCCATGGACGGGACAAAGAACGAGTCCAGCCCTACATTTATATAACTTCATGACACAGATGACTCCGTGCCGCAGTTGCCAAGGTATTGAGTTCGGCCCAGCTGTTATGTGTTCGATTCCCAGACGGCACAGCTATTTGTGTGGCCAAAAGATACATGGGTCTGGTCTTGGTGTTCGTCCCTTTGAAATTATACATATTATTTTTGTAAAACATCCTTTACCACATGGGATAGCGTTATCCTATATTAAGGGAAATGTTTTAAACTAACAAAAAAATATGTATTTACTTCAGTTAGATCCTTTAACGAATTCTTTATTGGATACTACGCTCTTTACAGAATAAAGCAAGAAAGAAATAAGAATAAAAGAATTTTACTTTGACTGAAACCTTCAAATCCAAAGTAAAATTACTTTATTCTCTTGTTTTCAAATTGTCATAAATGCCCCGCCAGTTCATGAGTTGAAAGCATTCCGTAGAATAAAGTGCGAGGGGCCGACAATGGAAGGATGTAATATACAAATAAGTTTCATTTGTAAAATAAGTTAATATATATTAACGCGGATTATTCTTGTTTAGGACACTTTATCAGCCTAACATGTCAACCACTACACAGATAATATCTGGTATTTTGTAAATATCGATATGGTTTCACTGTGATTTTTGCGATAGTGAAGGAATTTGTACATGTCACTGCTTTAATTACGTAACATATCACTGTCCTAAGGCTAAAATAACAATGTTTAAACAAATTGTTCAATTTATTGCAGAATCGTTACATAAAAAAGTAACAGCCTGTATAAGTCACGCTGCTGGCCAAAGGCCTCATCTGTACAGAAGGTATAGCGCATTTGGGTATTAGAGACTACACTAAAAATTTTAAATATTTTGTTATGTTATTATTTCGAAAATATGCAGCTTTCCTCACGATGATTTCATTCACCGCTGAGCACGTGATAATTGCAATATTACCAAATTGACAATTTAATTAGTGAGGCTGCCAGCACACTGAATTAAAGTTTACACAAAATGGTATGCATTTAATAATTCCTCGATGTTACAAAATATATTGTTTAAAATCGTTTGTATACGTTTCAATAAGGTTATATCGAAGGGAAAGGTGTGAGACGTCAATGCATTTCTTAGATTCGATCGGATATTCTACACCTTTGAAACAACGAATAGTGTACACCTCAATCGAAACACAATACGGGTATCGGACCAATCTCTCGACGCCCCATAGGGCCCCAATAACGCGTAATTACCTAGAAGCGATGACATTTTATAAACGAAACTGTTCACGGCTCGTAGCTAGTGTTGAAATAAACAAATGCGATAAGATTGACTGAGAAATAAACTCTTGGAAATATCTTTGATTATATACTTGTCGTTTATATACTTGTTGAAGTATATAATAATATTTATTTATTATTCGTACGGACTTTTAAATAGATATAATTTAACGTAATATGAAAGAACTTTGCAACAGATTCCGAAATATTTTAATAGACTACCTGTTTAATTTTGTTTGTAAATTTCTAACATTAATTGTTGGGCGTGTATATAAAACATTATAAAATACTGTTAAAAACGAAGTATTAATATGAGAAGAAATCCATTCATTTTTTAATTTAAAAATGTACTATGAGCTTTTATTACGTGATAAGTTGGCAAGAGAGCTGGTGTTTCACCTGATGTTAAGTGATAACCGCCGCCCGTGAACATTGCAGGTTTGCATGGGCACCCGTAGGGTTGCAGATGCGATGCCACCTTTTAATAAAGTGGGCCCCGGCTACCACACTCACCAGACCGGTCTTCTGTGAGGTCGTGGTACTTCCTCGGACGGACCTGCCCATTCGTGCAACAACTGCGTGACCGTACCACAGTTAAATAAAAGGTAGAAATAAGAGATCATAATTATGTTAAAAGAATTAATGAAGATTTCTACAAAGAGTTGGGAGCTCAGTGCTTGGTTTCAAGGTCCATTTAAATTGAGTAAAAACGACCACAGTCCAAATCACCATTTAAACATAAAAATAACCGAAGAATAAGAGAATAGTTGACAATAACCGAAGATCGACTTGTCTCATTAATTTCTCTCATTCTTAATAAGAATCGTGATTATAGAATCAAAATTATATAAATTTTTTGATAAAAATATGTGAAAGATTCATAATAAAAGATATTTGAAACAATATACTCGTATGTATAAAGGAAATCAATGTTTCCAATGAAAATTTAATAGCAAAAAAAGACCGCAGTTTTCATGACGATTTAATTGAACAATTAACATTACATAACTAACTAACTAACAAGATAATTAATCATATTAGAAAAAACTATTAAACATATATGAGACGAGTTATGTAATAAATGATGACTCGGTGGCGCTGACGCCAGGGGTCGTGGGTTCGATGCCCACACGAGCCAAGTTTTTGTGTAATCTACAGATAATTTTTTGCATTTGAGAAATTGCACGTGAAGTTTGTGTATATAAAAATTACATCACAGAATAATTTATCCCACAGTTTGGTCAATATAAATTTTTAATTTTTCTGTAAAGTGTACATTGTACTTTTTAGGGTTCCATACCCAAAGGGTAAAACGGGACCCTATTACTAAATTTCCGCTGTCTGTCTGTATGTTTGTCTGTCTGTCAGACACACGGTACAGACGTAATCAGGCTGTATCTCATGAACCGTAATAGTTAGACAGTTGAAATTTTTCAAAGATTTCTCTTGCCGCTAAAACCACAAATACTAAAAAACGAAATAAGAAAATATTTAAGTGGGGCTCCCATACAACAGACACGATTTTATGCCGTTTTTATTGATAATAGTACGGAACCATTCGTGCGCGAGTCCGACTCGCGATTGGCCGGTTGACTATGTATTTATTGCTATCTGATCCCCGGGGCTTCGTCCGCGTTGCTTATCATATAAACTAAACAGCTTGCCCCACTTCATCACGGCAAGAAAGCACACATAAGAAAATCGTTTTTCCTTAAAACTTTAACGGCTTTTCCCTAATTGAAGACGTCACAATATTGTTTTAGATAACGGCTAAGAAAAAATAATGTCTAAGAAATTAAACTTGAATTAGTTGAAGTCAACCCAGTAGTTTTTCCCGTGTATCTTTACATAGAGATAAATAAAATTGGATTGTCTGCTTATAACATTAAAATAACTTTTACTTTTTACTAATGCATATGGATGTAGGTACACCACGGTAGATATTTACCGAAATAACATTTTTTATAATCTGATTACATAAAATGAAGATATCAAGATATTTTTTTCTTATAGACACAGAACAGCCACACTTTGGCTGAAACTTAAAATACTTAAGTGAAATAGTTTTTCAGTGATACGCAGATAATGGCTGACCTCTTTCTTGATTTATATATATACAGAAAAAATTATTCCATATGCTTCATATGTTTCATAAAAAATATTTTTTTATTGCCCCATATAATCGTAGAATTATTCCTATGGCTTAAATAAAACAATGTAATACTAACGGGTCCATGATAATAATGAAAGAAAAACATCCAATAAAAAAATATTAAATTTACTTAACATTTAAATTTGATCGTAAACGCCGACACAAGTTTGAAAGACGCGACAACTGAAACGGGATCGCGTCACCGAAACGAGAGAACAAATATTCCCGATCAACAAATGAAATCATGCATTTATTTACGTTGCGTAGTAAACAGACCCGGCGGGGGACAAGGAGCGGCTTTTGGGATAACACACGCGACGGAAAGAGACAAACGGGACCCCATAGCCCCGCCCAAAGCGCACGAGGCGACGTGGATTGGCTTCGGGGGCGCAATCTCTCGCACCATCAGTCTTCCATCGAGAGCCATTTAAGCCACAGCCTAACAGGTCAGGTCGCGCCCTTAACGCCGCGAATAATGAACTAGTCAAGGTAATGAATCGACAATCATTGGTGCTAAAACAAAATGGACTCGTACGAGCAGCACAACGAGGTGACCACGTCATACGACAGCAGCTTGAAGCAGAACTTCTACGGTTACGATTACGCGGGCTGCGTGGATAAGGCTAGGGACGTCAGCAAGGAGTACGTCGACGCTTCAGCCCTGTCCACCCCCTTCTCCGTTAAGGACATCCTCAGCATAAACCAGGGCTGCTACGAACGCGAGAGCTGGCGGCAGGGCGACAGGAGGGACTTCGACATTCCGTACCAGAACAGCCAGCCCTTCTGCCCAGACTTCGGGCAGACGTACCACGGCGCGCCGCACGCGGGCCTCGATCCGTACCGGAGCGACGCGTACTACGACGAGTACCACGCGTACAACCCGTACTACCCGTACCAGCAGGAGTACGACGCGTTCTCAACGTACGCGGCGGACGGTCCCAAGCCGGACATCTTGCAACGCGATGCCCCAGCCCTGGTCCCCTCACTAGGGGTCCCCTGTGCAACCGACAAAACCCTCCAGTCAGCAATACCGAATTGCGCGCCGTACACAAAGGAGTCTTTGGAGAAGTTCACACACTTATCCCGAAAAGGCACTAGTACGTAAACTGATTGATTTTTTGTCTTGAACTTGTGTAAAAATATTCATGTGTGTTTGATATATAATACGAGAAACATTTAGAATATGGTCATGGTTGCTTACGTCCAATGATAATTAATATACATCCAGTAATCTTCGATTGTTTTTGAGGATGTTTAAATATGTTTACTTAAGTTGGTAGTAAATTTATAAGTATTGCTGATCGTTTTAAACGATTGAGTAACTAACGTTTAGCATAAAATGCCAAAACACGTGATAGAATTTATAACATCGCAAGACTGTGTCACTATTCTCCAAGAGCTTTCTCCAATAATTCATTGGTAGTAAAAGAGCTTCCGTTTTAAGAATAGTCTACAATGTAACATATATAAGTTATAATATATGCAATTGAAATTAAGGTTATATAAAGCCTAAAAGTTATAAATTTAAAATAGAAAGATAATTTGTAATTCCTCAAAACAATACAGATGATATCATTATTATAATGACGAAAAGCTATAAGATTACTGGGACAAGCCAAATGTCAATCTTGAATGAATAAGCATAAAAAACATAATAATAAAACGATAACAAGCAATCGTCTTAAAAACCCTAAGGGAATAGACAGATATAACTTATTAGTTCCAAGCTTATTTTATAACTTACGTGATTCTTGACTCTGAAGCCTACTCCCACGTCTCACTACTTTCTCATTGCATCTTACCATAAAGTCCAGTACCCCTGAACGTTACGCCATAATGTCACTAACAATACTCCTATTCCGCAGAGACGCCAGTCCGCAATGCCAAGTGTGAGAAGGACAAATGCGCGAAGAGGAAGCCACGCATCCTCTTCTCCCAAGCGCAAGTGCACGCGCTGGAGATACGATTCCGTGCGCAGAAGTACTTAACGGCACCGGAGAGGGAGCAGCTGGCGAAGACGCTCAGCCTGTCGCCAACACAGGTCAAGATCTGGTTCCAAAACAGGCGGTACAAGAGCAAGAGGATAAAGCCGCCAGAGGTCAGCACATCCACGGACGCGAAGCCGAGCAAGCAATGCGCGGGAAGGAAACTCTACAAGCCGGAAACTAGGAACGTCCAAACATGTCCAAAGATGAAGAGCGAAAACGACGAGACGGTTTGCGAGGACGGAACACCGAACGCAATTTATTTCGACGACGGCGAAACGTACTACAGGCACGGGTTGTGCTCCGACGAGAGTGTTGGAACGAGCACCGCCGATGCGCTCTACGTTGCGGAACACGTTCCGAATGTTCCCCGCGAGATGGACCTCTACGCGGAACACGAAACGAAACCTATTGTCCATCAGCAAACGAAGTTCTACGGCATGAACTTCGTTTGCTGATGTAGTTTAGAGTTCATTCACCCCACATAGACTGATCGCCAAAGAGTATTATTATTTTTTTGTTATTCGAATTATTATATTGTAGTTTTTTTTTTAGTTAATTATGGCATGCGCATGCCAGTACAACGGTGATGAGATATATTTTTTATAATAAGCTTCATGCCCAAATATTAAATTAGATAGTTTGTAATATTTTGTAAATAAATATTAATGTTTAAAAACGTATTTCATTCAAGGACATCCGAAATTAAAAAATGCCTTACACGCCTGCCAGCTTACTAATATTTCCTATACGAGTTCCATTAAATTTATTATATAATTGAATAGTAAAGATGAATATCATATAATCTATTGCATTTCGTTATAAAAAAAAAATTATAAGTGTTAATTCGTTTAGTATCTTTATGTTTTAATATGTTACTTTTGTTCACTGTGATCAAATTTTTTTTTAATTCATTACGTCAAATTCAAATTATTTCGCGACAATTTCTATTCTGTGCCACCTATTAGCCACGGGTTAGTACGTATTTGACAGTGACAGTAGTGTATCGTGTGTTATATCCCAATTTTAGCCTTTTGTACTTCCCACTTACATCTACAACATCTTCAACTATGGAAATACATGAAAACGCGATAAACAGTATTTTCCTCCCATTCTTATTTTATTGCCTCGTGTAAACAATCTTATACAAAAGACCCTTACTCAATGCCATACAAACGACGGGAACCCTAAAACATATTATATATGATTACCTCAAAATATTATCAAATAAAAGAAATTTAATACAAAACGTGATAATCTTTAGTGAAAGTTGCTTGTAATAAAGACATACTAAACAACATATTTATGACGGCAGATACTTGCCTTAACTTCAAAGCCGTCTACGTCATTTTATGGACAGTTAAAATAACATTAGGAATATTTTGGTGGCATATAAATACAGTGAAGGGTCGAATAGCAATATCTTACGTGGCCAAGGGCCAACAAAGTTTTCACAAATCGCCTGGTTTCTCACAGTACTGAAACGTAAGCTATTATTCTGAAAATCAGTGTCAACTTAAACTTTATTTTGATACATTAACCGTAAAATTACCGAGTGAACGTACAGCTCTACAAAAAACGCTAACTTGAGAGCTCCGTTAGTTTTTCACTTCAATTTGTAAAGATCGCTTTTATCTGAATTGCTACCATGCCGCGGTAAGGGCGGTCTCCGCACAAACCGGCGTTCACACGCCCGTGTGTACTTTATTTGTTTATTATATCATCCAAAGACGATACCAAGAGTTATATTATTATGTATTAAAATATGATTCATTTTACCTTTAGTACGCCGCACAGTTTTTTTTTTTTTTTACTTTTTTAATTGATTAAATCATAATATGCAAATGAGGTTTATACAATATGAAAGAAAACAATATTAGAATTTAATTTTAGTATTGCATCTCTTCAGATGTGAACACGTGATTTCATAAGTTCGTTTTGCTAAGATGGTTTCTTTTTCTTTCAAAGTATTTGTTACCTTAAAAAATTTTCGTACCTTTCTTTCAACTATTTTTTAATGTACAAAATTACTTAATTTATTTATTTACTTGATTTAGAAATATAAAATCCCACATTATAAGAAAATCGGAAAAACCAATAACTGCCTGCATAGATTAAACTTATGAAATATGTGAATCTATTCAAAATTTAAAAAAAAAATAAAAACTTTATTACTTTACCAAAAACATAATCACAAAATGCATCTGATGCTTAACAAAAATTATATATAATAGGTTTTTGAGAAACGTTCAGAATGCTTTATACAAAAATCTAAGTTGCGGTTAAAAAACACAGCGTTCCAACCGCCGGCTCGGCCTACCCCATCCCCCGGCAACCGTCCGCTGCAGGCGCCGGCGCCAATAAGATATTGATCCCCTAACACGTGTCCCGATACACTCAAATATGGGAATGCATAGAACCTGCGGCCTATGGGAACAGCACCACCTGTTTTTAAAAGCTCCATTCGCTGAGCGTGCGCAGTGCACGCTGGCGTTTTGACAACTCCGAAGCCGTTAAAGGAGGTTTTAGGTTCGGGCCTCATTAGGTTTTTTTCTTTTTTATTGCCGTTTAATGGCTTTAGACAAGCCGATTGGGTTACGATGATGGATATAAGTTTGAAATTATTTAAAACGTCATAAAGCGTTTCAAATCACATATTTAGAAACGACATATAATATTATTGTATATTGCAACATACCAGAAGTCTTGGAACATAAAACTAGAAAAGAGTTAAAACTAGTTTTGGGATAAACTTCAGAAAGCTAGACCAAACAGATACTAATTTATTTTTTTTTTTTTTTTTTTTTTATTAATTTATTAATTAAAAACGCATAGTACCCTCCTAAATTCGTAGACTATTATTAATTGCAAGTTAAGCAACACAGACTGTTTTGGATTTTTTTTTACGTTAGAGTTTTTTTTTTATAAAAAGTTTCCTCTAATTTACAGGTTTCATAGATGAACGCAACAAATCCGTTTTCATGAGATTTTTTTCCATTAAATGTTACGAATTGTTATGCTGAACAACGGCATACAAGACAAAATAGAAATGCGGCAAAGTAAAGGACTTTGGACTTGGACTAAATATTGCATTCCTACTACCCTCAGTATTAGTTAACAACCCGCCTGCTGCATCTCTGGTATGAGCGTCCATGGACGACACTCCTCACCAGCAGAGGAACCACTTGAGGTAATTATCCTTTTCCGATGTAGCAAAATCAGAATCAAAATCAAAATCAAAAATATTCACATTGACGCTTGCGCGTTCTTATGAAATGTCAAAAATTTTACATAAAAATTAATACGTTCGTAAGTTATCACGGAATCCAACTAGTAGAAATATTTCTTCTCCCCCATGGTGGGATGCTGACTATTCTGCAATGATTAAAAAACGTAAGAAGCTGAGAGGCAATATTCTCTAAACATGACAAACCAAAACTTTTTGACCTACCAGAATATTTCTGCTCAAGCAAAGAAATTATTTTCTTCAAAGAAAAAAAAAGGTTGGCTTTCATTTTGTGAGAGTCTTGCACCACGTTCTCCCTCATCTCTAGTTTGGAAGGCTATACGACAGTATAAATGTGCGGTAAATAACAATAATTCTTATAGTTATAATTCTTCTCAATGGATGTACAACTTTTGTAGTAGATTGGCGCCTCCTTGGGCACCTTCATTTGAGGAAATGTTCCCGGATAACCACTCCCTCTTTTAATTCCCACCTTCTAATATAAGTACATTTCTAGAAAATCTTTTTTCTATTTCTGAATTGAACATAGTACTAAGCAATCTAAAAGATTCCTCCCCTGGAGAGGATGGGGTCCCATACTCGTTTTTAATTAATTTGAGTCCCATTTCAAAGAGAAATATTTTTTAGATTTAATAAATTTTATTTTTGTATCAGGCTCCATTCCTGATGAGTGGAAAAGTCATATTGTGGTTCCCATTTTAAAAGCTGGGAAAGATCCTCATTCCGAGTCAAGTTATCGCCCCATTGCAATGGCATCAACTATTTTAAAAATCATGGAACATCTAATTAAAAATCGATTAGAGTGGTTTTTAGAAAATAGGGGGATTTTTCCCAAAAATCAGTTTGGTTTTCGAAAAGGGTTCAGTGTAATTGATAGTCTAAGCATACTCATTTCCGAAATAAGACTAGCCTTTACAAAAAAATAATTTCTTGCTGCTGTTTTTCTGGATGTGACGGCAGCTTACGATATTGTTAATCTTCCAAACTCAGGAAGAAAATGCAACAACTGAGTATCTCTGTGAGGATAACAAATTTTGTGTCAAACATCCTATTAGGTAGATATATCTTAGTAAGGACTGAGAGTAATCTCACATCTGCTAGGTATACTTGGAAAGGTCTTCCGCAAGGTTCAGTCCTTAGCCCCCTTCTTTATAATATTTATACCCATGATTTGGATAGATCAGTAGATTGCTTCTGTAACGTCTTACAATATGCCGATGATATTGCTCTATATGCTTCTAATACAAGCTTGAGTGAAGCAACCTCTAAATTATCAACTGCATTGAACTATTTAAATGATTGGATGTTGGAACATGGTCTATCGATTTCTCCCTCAAAAAGTAATACAGTAATATTTACAAGGCGAAAACATACCCCAGAAACTCCTATATTTCTTGGAGAATCTGTCATCCCTCATAAAAGCTATGCTAAGTTTCTTGGAGTGGTTCTGGATAGTAAAATGTCTGGGAGTCATCACATTTCACATGTACTAGACAAATGTGAGAAAAACCTAAATGTTATTCGATCCTTGTCAGGTGTATGGTGGGGTTGTCATCCCTACTCCCAAAAACTTCTATACAATGCTTTGATACGAAGCCATCTTGATTATGCAAGTTTCTTACTAGAGCCATGTAACAAAGGTGCTCTCAGTACTTTAGATAAATTACAAGCGAAATCCCTTCGTATTGTAGTAGGAGGCATGAGATCTACTCCTATTAATGCACTACAGGTTGAATGCGTTGAACCTCCCCTTTTCTTACGTAGACAGTATTTATCAGACAGATTTATATTTAAAATAGCTTACCTTGCTAATCATCCTCTTATAAGTCTACTTTCCTCTCTTTCCCGGAGTATAAACCATGACACATATTGGACTAACAAAAATATACCATGTATTGTTAAAAGTTATTTAAAATTAAAAAATATACATTTCCCATTTTTTCAAAATAGTCTTAACCCACTTTTCTCCACCCCCTTTGAAGCTCTTACCTTTAACCCTGCAGTGATCTTTAATTTGGGTATAGACAAGAAATCAACTAATGCAAATGCGCAATTAAACTGGGAACTCTCTCAAAATTGGGTGAACTGGTATGTTATGTATACGGATGCTTCTAAGTTATCTGATCAGGAGTGTGTTGGATCAGCAATTTGGTTCCCTAAATATAAAATAATTTTAAATTTTAAGTTGCCTCCTAACTCATCAGTTTT